GATTGGTACCCTGTTTCGCTTACCGATCATCGCAAAGTGATGATTTTTATACAGCTGATCGGCGGTTCCAAAATGGCCGCCGGGTTAAAAAAAATGGCTGCCCGCTGTTTTCTGGGACGGATTCCTCGCTTACCGTATGGAGGATTTTCATTTAAAGGTGAGTCTGAAGCCCATAGGAACGGATTGAAGGGGTTTCAATTCATTCCTATGAGCTTTTTAATATCGCATAGCGACGAAATCGCTTTGCAGCGATTTTTGCTGCACCGATTATCGTCGCTATGCGAGGCACCACTGTATACCTCTCTTTATATACCCTTCCATTCTGTAAGGGATGAGAGCAACAAGATGGTGTTGCTGATGCTTTTTGAGAAAACTCCAATTCTAACAGAAAATCCATTCCTCCTTTTTCAATCTTGCCCTATCAATCTCTGAGGAAAGAGGAATAGTTTATAGTCCCTTCCTTTTTAGCTTCCGCAGAAAGGAGTAGCAACAAGATGCTGCCTTCACCTTCCATAAAACTTCAGCACAACAGCAAACAGTTCTCAAAATATCCAGCTCAGCCAAATAGGTCACAAATTCAGGAAGATAAGTTGGGGATGACATGAAATAAGATATCTGACAACAAATGTTGGCATCACAAGTATAGTGATTTTTTTAAAAAAAATAACTATAAGAGCTTTAATTTCAGTATTACTAGAATGATTTTGTCAAAGGATATTATGCATGTAAATGCACTTCTCCCCTTTGGAACAATAGCCCTGTATATAAAACTTGCAGATTTCCTTTTTCTTCTCTATTTCTGCATCGTGATCAAATTTACATTGGTCTCCCTGTGTGTATAAAAAGAAAGATGATCAGTTCTGTGAAAGTCTTGCATTCCAAGTTGAATTTACAATGACAATATTCTAGATAAACATAATCTTCTGCTTTTCAACTTTTTTCCCCCATGGGTTGAAGTTAAAGTTAACTTTACAAGCAAGAGATGAAAAAACAAGGCAAACTAATCATAAAAATCACTGCAAGGAGAAGCTGATCTCTCTCATGAGCCAATGTCTGCTAATGAAATGAGCCTTTTTTCCTTTCTCCTCCCACTGTTGAGCCCACTCTGCTTCCTTCTGCACTTCCCCATCTGCTCTGGAGCAGATTTTGAAGTATACAGAAAAGGAGAGATTTATCCCTATCCTAGCTCAACTAAAAGAAACAGCTCCACCAGTGGAAAAAACCTCACTAAATAGCAGAATTGTATTTACATGGTAATTAAATAGTTTGTAATTACTCAGAAGCTGGCTGTATAGCTCAGTAAGTTACATATGGGTTGGGAGTTCAATTCCCCTCTGTGCCTGCTGTGAGCAGAGCCAGCCTGTGTGACTTGGACATGCTGTACAACTGCAGGGTAGCCCAAAGAGAAGACAGTGGTAAAGCACTTCTGAGTACTCTTTACCAAGAAAACTCTGGAAAGGGTCTGTACAAGTCAGAACTGACAATAGCACACAATTACTGTTATTGGTTACTCATGTATAGTCAGTAACGCATAGAGCTGCTAATGCAACTCAGATAGTGACAAAAATGCATAACATCAGACAATTAGAACAAAGGTGTCAATATAAACCATCAAACTTTCTTAAAAGAGATAACTTCTATTTATATATTACACATTCAATACTAAACATGAAGCTCACACTGGATTTTATAAGTACTGTGGATACCAATCATTTTATCATAGCTTTTGCTGAAATTCTATGACAGTTTTCTCTAATGCCTTTTTATACTGAATACATTAAAAACACAGCCTGAAAATTCCTTATGTAGTTTTAAAAAAATTAATAAACTTAATTCCTCCCACTTTCCCGGAGACAATATAAGTATATATCCACCTTAATACATCGTGCCTCTAGGAAATATTTACAAATCTGTTTTCCTTTGTGTTCCACTGTATGCTGGTTTATGAATGCCTGGCTCATAGTTGGCCACTTCTTCACTGGCTTTATTTCCTGTGAAAATAAATATCCTCTTTTAACATGTTGTCTACCCAACTGTCAATGGAGAACAAAATAATTACCCCTTTCAAATGATAGAATACAATGACAAGTGAAGCTTTCCAAAATATATAAAGTGAAACGTATACTATAACTGATATGATCACTGATGTTCTAGTTAGAGTTAAGCACAGCCATAATAATAGTAGT